GTCCAATTCAGCCAACATTTACTCAGCACTGGGAGCAGGGCAACCAAAGGGGCGGAGGGGGGTGGGGCAGGGGTCTGAACTAGGAGGGTGATAAGCCAGGACACAAGTAAGCACATCCCCAGGCACAGGATAAAAAAAGGCCCCTCCAAGTGGGCTTCTGGGCTGCAGACCTCAGACAGACAGATGGAGGAGAGAGCAGAAGAGGCCAGTTCTTTCTGCCTCCATTTCCAGTCCAGATGAATGCACTAGAGTTGGTATAAAATCTACTTGGGAAAACAGAACCATCTGGGATCACTGGTCAGAGATCTAAATGGTGTAGAAAGAGGAAAGAATGTGCTGACTTCTGATGAATGGGAAGGGGTTGACAGTGGCTTAATTGAGACCAGTCGAAGGGGTTCTTTTGTCCACTTTTTCCCCCGCAAGTTTTTCTTTAAACAGATTTTACTCAACTGTCCCCAGAGACTACATAAGGCACAGTTGAAATTTCTGTTGTCCTTTCCTGTTTCTGCCTCTCCAACGACCTTGACTTCAAAGGGTACGATGGTAAAGCCTGTAGGACCCCCTACCCTTTATTCCTGTCACAAATGGATGAAGTGCTCAAACATGAATCATTAAGCCTACTTCTTTTTGTATCTCCCAGACACTAAGCATTTGTTCTCTGATTCAACGTTCATTCGATGTATTCATTAAGTCCAAACATTTCCTCAACACTCCCCATGTTCCAGGCCCTCTTGAACGCACTGGGGTTGCTGAAGCGAAGGAGGCACAGATCCTGCCTTCACAGAGCTCCAGTTTAGTGGGAGAGCAGAGAAATAGCTACGAACACATGGCCACAGAGGACAGAGCGTGGAGAAGGGCTTTGAAGAGAGTACCAAGGGCTATGGAGGCGACCTTCCGAGCGGAAAGCAGGAGGGGCATGAGTGGGAGGGAAATGGAACGGGGAAAGCAGCAGCCAGCGGGAGACTCAGTCTTTTCGATGTGTGGCTGAAGGCGGCTGAGGCTGTTGGTGTTCATTGCGAACAACTTCAGCTTGGGGACCAGGAAGTAGCCTCGGTAGGTCAAAGGGTAAATGGAAGAGCCCTTCTCGTCTTGAGCTGCACTACAGAATCATTTGGGACAGGGAGGGCGGGAGGGAGGGAGGGACCCTATATGCTTAAGTATCATATATGACTCCATCTGCCTCTAGTCTGTCATCCCAACCCCTCTTCCCAGGAAGACTTAAGAAATGGGCCCACCATAGTTTACCTTTATCTTTCGTAACATACAACTCATAAACACCAAATTCATTGCTTGCCTTGTGTCTCAGAAGATTGAGGAATAGACCAACCTTACACCAAACCCATTAAAAGTGTATTGACTTTGGAAAAGCAATGACAATGTGATGGCTTTTATTACACAGAGTAATATTAAGATGGATAAAATTAAATATATGCTATTGTCTGGTTTGAACATTAGAGTTAATTTGAATTTGTGATGTGGGTGGCCCAAATCTGTGATTAACAAGTTAGAATGTGTCATTCTAAAAAAAAAAAGGTTTCCAGAAAGGTGTCCTAGAAATGTGACACTGCTTACAAGGCACAGGGAGGTGAGGGGCAGGTAGAAGATCTAGCTACTAGGCTAAAGCTCAATTGAAGGGTTGCTGTAAGCTGTTCACCTGCATTGGGGCCAGTAGTAAAGCCTGTGTGATGGCCATTGGGGATGAATGAAGAGCAGTGGGAGACCCGCACCCCTCCAGAGCCACGTTCCCCTGATTTTCTCCTTTCCTCCTACAAATCATTTGGCTTAACTAATGGGATTTGTTTTGATTTTATCTGCATAGCTATTTTGTACGTATCTAGAGACCCAGACAGGGTGATAAAGAAGTTGATCAGACGTTCTCAGTCCAGAGATCAGATGAACGAAGTCATGTCTTCTACATCTTTGCATCCGGAGCACCCAGAGCAGACGCTCCATAGGTTCACTTATACATTAATGGGCTTCCTGGCTCCACCTAGTTTTACCACTAGAAAAACGATTTCTTCAACAAATATTTATTAATCACCTACTCCTTGCCAGGTGCTGTGTCTGGCGGTAAGGATATGAGAGTGAGCAAGAGAGACAGGACGCTATCTTCCTGCCTTATTGCCCAGAAAGAGAGACACCACTTAAATCAGGAATTACAAGAAGTTACGAGAACATCACAGTGTGGAAAATAGGATCCTGATGGGTCAATATCAGAGACCACATCTGTTAGGGAGGTGGACTGAGGAATGCTTCCGGGTATAAATGACTCAGCTGAAGTTAGAGTTCTCAGCCCTGATGGGATGTATAATCTATTTGGAGAAAGAACACTGTCACACATGCAAAAGTGAGAAACAGTACAATGTAGGTACGCTAGGTTCAGTGTCAGATCATGGATTACAGATGGTACAAAGGGTGAAATCAGAGGGTAGCTGGAGGCATGGGGGTTTCCCGGAGGAAGGGGCCCTGACCGTCCTTGGAAGGTGGGTAGAACAGCAGGGTAGAACAAGGGGAGAAAAGGCAGAGAATGAGAACTGTACACAGTTGGAGAAGTGAGGCCTAGATGAAATAAGCTGAATTATGCAAGATCTGGAAAGTCAGGCAGAAATAGAGCATAAACATCATCATGTTATAATTATTATTTTTAATGCGATAAAAGCTACTATCTGTCAGGTCCCCATCTGGGTTAGGTGCTGGGCAGGAAATGTTTTGCAATAGGCCTGAAGTCCACCCCCTCTCTTTACCAGAGGGAAGCCTGTGGGGGNACAAAGGAAGGAAGGGAGGGAGGGAGGGAGGGAGGGAGGAAGGGAGGACAGAAGGAAGGAAGGAAGGAAACTCAATCAAATCTTTATATAAATATGCTAACGATAGACCTCCAAGTAAACACATGAATGATATTTGCTAAAGCAGGGTCCTTACCTATGAAATGCTTTGAGAAGTGGGTACCTGGTCTGCCTGGATTGCTTGTTTGTAACAAATCTGGAATCTGAGGATGTATTGAGCATGGGTCCTGGGGAATAGGTAAAGTAAGTTATGTGACCATCTGAGTACAATATGAAGATACTTCATGATGGCTCTTCTGTGTAGGCGATGTGGCCACACACATGGCTCACGGGTTTTCTGTGTTAATCTGCACAGGAGAATATCTTGATGTGGCAGGAAAGGACCTGGGGAGCTGCGTAGGTCCCGGGCCACTTGCTGCTGTACCTGACCCTTGGGATCACTTGTTTCATTATAGTTATTAGGAAAGCTTAACACTGTGTCAGATCTGTTCTCGTGAGTCCGCTCTAACAATCTTACCCTTTGTGGTTTCTTAGGTACTTTACATATATTGTCTCACGTCCACCCTCTAAGGTAGGTGCTCCAAGAAGTTAGTCAATTTGCCCGCTATCACACAGTGAGGAAGCAGCAGGCTCCAAATTTCACCCCAGACCTGACTCCATAGCCCACGCTCTTCCCACTGCCCTGCATTGTTCCCCTTCTTAAATTTGAATGAAACAGAACAGGTCACAGGGCCCTAGGAAGGCCCCAGAGGACCATCAACGAGCCATACACGCCCTGCGAGAGCTATGTCCCCAGTCTAAAGCTTTAATGAGAAAAGTCTTCCTGGTATAAGACCCGATTCATTTAAGCCCCAGACGGTAGTGTTCATGAGACATTTTCCATGGAAATTCATTTTCACCCGAGGCCAAACACTTGCATCCCCACTGGGACTCTGCAACTCATGGAGCATTTGTGTGCTATCTGGGGAATAATACTGCATTCTTTGAATGCTGAGAGAATAGCCCAGAGACTCTGCCCTTGATCAGAATCAGAGGATATGAATTGGAGTTTCTAATTCCATTTTTAGCCCTGAAGCAAGCTGTGCCTGGCGGGAAGGCACGCTAATCCCTGATGAGTTGGATTGGCCATATTTCACATGGGCTGCAGTTTATGAGGACATTTGTATGCATTCATTCACAGAGCTGGGTTTTGTTTTATCATGGTTCTTTGTACAGCAGTAGGGTCAGCTTCCCGCTACAGAATTCGAGTTTTCCTTTTTTAAACACTAGTGTGTGAATGTGGGGAAGGGGGTTGGTCTCATCAAGGAATCCACCTCTTTTTTGCTGGAGAAATAAGTGGCTTATAATTCTAGTTGCCTCAGGTCAAGGAGTAGGGGGCAGTTGCCTAGCGTAACACCTTGGTTCCTGTTAAAAGCGCCACAGGACGGACACTCAGAGTGGGATGTGACAGATTGTCCCATGTCTGGACCTCTCTCAGGGCTGCCAGCATCATGAAAGGGCAGGTGGAACCATCTCCCTTCCTTGGCTGTGCCTGGTTCATCAACTTTGGCGGTAGCTCTCAGACCACCAGTTAACAGAAGTGTTTAATAAATAGCCAAATCGTAATACCCGAGAAAGATGCTCACCTTGATAGAAAAATGTGATAAAACAGCACCAGAATATTTATTTTAGCAATCAAAGGTCCCTCCCACACAGAGCTGGCATCTCTCTATAGCAATATGTTGAGGGGCACTTAGCTTGGGTCTTTATAAGAAAAGCACAAAGCTTAGTTGAGAATTGCTGAAACTCACAGAACTGAGTTGAAAAAAGACAGTGGTCTGACGTTGACCTTGGGGTTCTCTTTTTCTGGATCCCACTGATGCTCTTCTTAGCCTACGTACACTGTCTGTATCCCGCTCTGGTCTCCTGGGTCATTGCTCTCTTGTTTCTGGACCCTTACCATCTTCAGAGAGTCCTTAGTCTTTATATGTTCCCTTTAAACAAAGGAGAATTTGATTCTTTGCAAAGCATGCCGAAATACTGGTTATTGTTTACGATGGTCCTATGTCTTTGCAAACCCAGCTTTAGGTGTTCTTTTTGCCTGGGTGCCCTGATCTGTGCCTTCTTTCTCTTGCCTACCATATAAGGAAGGAAAGGATAATAAACACCTTTTTTTTTCTTTCTTTCTTTCTTTTTTTTTTAATCCGCTGAATCTGGATTCTCTGCAATGTGCCACAGGGCCGTCTTTGTGACACCGTAGTCCATAGGAATCACCTTGGCTGCAAGGAAACAGAATACCGGACAAACAGTGGCTCAGACAAGGAGGGATCTACTTTCTGAGGGTGAGTAATATAGTAGCAGGTTATCAGGATTCCACATTGACTCATCTGTCACTCTCTGGTCTCTCCCTTCTGGAAGCAAGATCACCATCTTAGCCCCTTCACACAACAACATCCAAACGGAGACTAAGAGAAAGTTCATCTCAGTAGAGTTCTTTTTTTTTTTTTTTTAATCAGGAGGAAATCCTTCCCAAACGTATACCCACTAGGAGATTTCCCCTGAGTACCATGGGCCAGGATAGGGTCACGTGCCCATGGTTTACCTGCCACGAAACTGGGAAAGTGAGTCACTGGCCTCTATAGGTGCAGTGGGCTTTGTGTGCAAGGAAGAAGGAAGGAAAAGCTGATGGATAGTCAACCACTCTAGGGACTAAATGTATGTGTCCCCCCCCGACACATTCATAGGTTGAAACACTATCTCCCGATGTGATGGTATTAGGAGACAGGGCCTGTGGGAAGTACTTAGGATCAGATGAGGTCATGAGGATGGAGTGGGATTGGTGCCCTTATGAAAGTCACAACAGAGCTTGCTTCCTCTCTGCTCTTCCTACCATGTGAGGACACAAGGGGACGTCTGCAGCCCAGAAGAGGACCTGACCACACTGGCACCCTCATCTTGGACTTCCAGCCTCCAGAACTGTGAGAAACCCATTTCTGTTGTTTATAAGCCACCCAGTCTATGGCATTCAGTTATAGCAGCCCCAACTGCCCAAGACAACCACAACCACTAAAGTGCAACAACCCAGGGATGGATTACATGTAATCATTTCACACTTGCCATCACATGGGCCACACACACAGTTCATAGGGAGTCATAAAAGAACAGACCTCAAAAGTTCAATATCAACCCATTCTCTGTCTGCTGGGGACAGATGATTATTGACCTCAAACTTAAAAAAAAATAATCGTGGTCAAATATATATAACATAAAAATTACCACTTTAACCACTTTTAAGTGTACAGTTCCATGACATGAAGTATATTCATATTGCTGTACAGCCATCGCCATCGCCTAGCTCCAGAATGATTTCATCTTTTCATGCTGAAACTCTGTACCTAGTCATGAATAAATCTTCATCCTCCCCACCCCCCTCCCTGACAACCATCACTCGACTGTCTTATCTCTTTGGATTTGGCTACCCTAGGTACCTCATATAGGTGGACTCATATTTGTCCTTCAGGCTCAGTTTTAAAATATTTGGTAACCTCTCTTGAAATGCCCTTCTGCCCCATCTCCTCCTCCCCTCTTCTCCAAACCCTTTACATCTTTCAAGGTCAATCCCAAGATTTTCCACTTGCTTCAGCCTGTGGGGCTCTCTCTGTTCTGGGCTCAGAGTGCACAGAGTCCTGGACTTTCCCGCCCATTGGCCCTTGTGGATACTGTCTTGGGCCATATCGAGGTATTATTCTATATTAACTGTCACGTTGTGAATGATTGTCTTGTCTCTCCAACTCGATGGTGACCTCCTGAAGAGCAGAGACTGCGTATCTTACTTTTCTTTTTATCCTCCACAACCCAACCCTTCCGCACAATAGTCACTCAGTAAATACTTGCCAAATTCCCTGCTCTCTTTAGGAAATCTGCATAAAACAGCTGGATAATCAAGAAGTCCTCACATAAGCCTGATCATGCTCTGTTTGGTTGAAACTTAAGACCTTTTTTTCTTATTTGATCTTCCCTGAGATAGAGAACAAATGTCTGGTGTCCTCCTTAAGCCTGTATCTATACTTGAGGTAGGTTAATGTGTCAACTCTAGCTTCTTTTTTTTTTTTTCAGGCTAAGCCATGATAATGAGGCACAACCACGATATTTACACAACACCTTTTCCTGAGAAACCCATAACATTTTTCTCACATTAAGATCAGTTCTTTTCAGTGTTACAAGTCAACAAAAGTTGCGCCATCTGGGAAGGAATTCCTCTTTAGTAGCAAAAGTCAGAGTTGGGAAGTCTGAGCCTCTGGCAAGCCTTTATTTTTTTACAAAAACTCTCTCACCTGCTCATGGTTTAATGTCTACTGAAACCCTGAGGGTAAGACGTAGCTATACACACACACACACACACACACACACACACACACACACCCGACACCCTTATGCAGTGTTGATCACAGCTATGTACATTATTGCATCATTTCTGAAATCAGAACAGTTCACCAGAAAATAATACAAAAAAGTCCAAAGATA